TCAGCATGGGAAAGGTTTTTAAAATGAAGACTCCTGTTGTGATGTCTTCATAATTTATCAAAAAGATTTACATTTGTAGTGCCACAGAGTGTTCTTTGTGGGTTCATTTGTCAGCGGGTATTAATTGGTTGAATCAAGATTTGTTTTTCTGAAATGCATACCATTGAGCTAGATGCTATGAGCACTTACTCGCTATCTCAAGAATCTCGCTGTAACAGAATATATTGGCAGGGTTGCCACAGCCTTTTTATTGTCCTGGATTTCTGCCAGAATACTATAAATAGTTGAAAAGGCAAGTGGCTTACCATTAGGACGGTTACTTGTGGGTAGGGTTGCTGTAAGTTGTTCCGGTTTGTTGCAGAATGAACGAATAGGCTGTCCGGGTCTTGCTCCCCCCCCCCCCCCTTGTTTGGCTTTGTAATTGCTCAGTGGATATTGCCTAATAAAAAGTATTTTTATGGGCTCTTAGCTTTGCAGTGTTTGGTGTTATAAATATATGTGTGTGTATGTATTGTTTTCCATTATTTAGATTGTGGTAACTCCCGTAACAAACTGATTAATTTCAAACACCTGTGGATGCAGTCCCTCACTTTAGTCACCCTCTTTTCAGCCATTCTTTTGCTAAAAGCTCTGATTCTGATTCAGCATAAAAATTCTATGGAAATAAGGCTGTAATTTTTTCCATTTTTACTAAAAAAATTGTGATACAGATTTTAAGCTTCTGTTCCTGAGGAGAAGATTGGAGAGGCTATCCTCTCAGATTTGGAGAGGCTAATCAGAAATTTTTGTTACTTTTATCTGAAGTTATCTGAAATTGGTAATTGTTTTTCCAGTTCCCTTATCTCTAAGAGGAGGAAGCTAAATTGTACTTGCTTCCACTCCAGTGGCTTTTTTCTGTTACTGGATAGTAATGTGTCAGCAACAACATCACTATGAAGCTAAATCTGCATTATAATCTTCTTTATGCCAGACATAGGTCATTATAACTTTGTAAACGTTAAGCAAGAATAGTAATAATGGACTTTGAAATAAGTGATCTACAAGCCAGACCGCAGTTCACTTCCACATACAGAATGGCTTTGATGGTGATGGACTGATATTTTCAGTGACTGTTGCATCTGACAGAGAGGAACGATAGCACTGTCCAGAATGGTTAGCAATGGAGAATTGCACAAACCCGCAAGGAGATAAAAAATTAGTACCATAAGCAGTAGGAAAAAAGTCAGATAAATGTTTGAGAACCTTGATTCTATGACTGCCATGTAACCCATATACAAAACCGTAATGATGTTATACCATCTGTCCCTCTCACCAACCTGGTAATGCTATCATGTGTATTCTGTCATTTTGCAAACAGAATAAAATGATCTCATAGTAACTTTATCAGAATTGTTTTGTTTCCTCTTAGCTCTCTTGGGTGCTGATCACCTGGTTCTCGTGACTTCTGGTGTTCCACATTTACTTCAGTTTCAGACAGATCTTCTACCAAGTCTGCTCTTTCCCAGTCTCACTTGCCAGAAAGGCTTTGGTATCAGTTTTTTTCTATAGTGACCCTTGATGTAAATAAACTATTTAGATTTTTTGCCATACTTCTGACCTTTCTGTGTATTTCTTTTATGTGCTGTCATTTGATTCTACATGCTTTTTGCTCCCGGATAATAACTGATTCCATAAGATAATTGTTTTTCTAACTCTAATTTGGCCTGCCTAGTTAAAATCTCTTTTACCTGCCTAATTAGATTTTTTTTTAATCTAGTGCAATCTAGTTTTGGAATATCCACCTAGCAAGATACAGTATTCATAAGAATGTAAGTCCTGCTCAGTTAATATCTTTACCTGGGGATGAAGGGAGAGTAAATGGTGAGAAGAAATGTCGACCAAAATGATTGATCTTAGGGCATTTATTTTGTGTATTTTTTCATGGCATCTGTCAAAGTAGAACTTCTGTTGATGTTGATGGGAGTTTTGCAACTGTAAATGAGACATAGTTTAAGCCTTGTAAAGGTGAATTGTATGGACTAAGTTTGTAACATTGTGCATGTACCACTGCGCATCTGTTTATACAGCTGAATTAACTAGAGTTTTTGAGAAAGTTGTGGATATCAGTCATTGATTAAAGCAGTGCCAACGAGTAGGAAAAAATGGCTTAAGAAAATTGCCTCAGCAAGTATTAGGACATTGTTCCTGTTGGTGATCACCAGCTCATTAATAAGCTGTCTAAATACATGGGAAGACCCTTAACAGGAGCCACCAACTTTAAGGAGGAAACCCTTGCCATAAAGAGAGGGCAAACTCCAGTGTTGGTGAGATCTCTAGTGTTTCTAGATCTTGTGCTGTAAACAAAAACAAACAGGAAATGAATTAAACCTGCATTTCTAAATTTGACACATAGCCTTTAGGAGAGGGGTGTTTTAGAGTACTACAAATTGGACATTTCTTTTAAACAACATAAGGGCAAGATGAGGGAAATCAACTGCTGTCTTATGATGCTGTTTGAATTTCACTTAATTGAATCTAACTTTAACCAGAAAAGTTCTGGGTTTAACAGAAATAAATGCTTTAAATAAATCCTACTGGTATAAAGCAAAAAAAAGCCAGTCACACAGCGCAACTAATTCGTAGTTGATTAAATTGAATGTAATCACTTGATAACTCAGTAGTGATCTTTATGACAGAATCTGTCCTAAAATTTTAAGTAAAAGGCTTTTATGATGTGTCTGGTTCACTGCTTGTATATAGTAATTAGCAGGCTGGATGCAAAAAAAGACAACCTTTGATTCAAACTCTGATGCATGATTTCCAGAGGTAATAATTCTTATAGTACGTGTCGTGGGGGATGGGACTTGGTTATGCTGCTTCTCTCTGCCCCTCTCTTTCTTTTTTTTTTTTTTTTTTTTTAAATCTGCTACTATCCAAGATTTTTACTGTTCCTTACAATGACTGTGACTGATGATGTCATTGATGAAGCACCAGATAAATTCTAAAAGCGGAAGTTCTAGCCCAGCATGGTCAAACACCTTGTCAGCTTGCCATAATATACAGCAGGAAGAAATGTTGTATTTCTTAATTTCCTGAGCAAAACAAATTGGCAGCATGCTAAGAAGTTCTCCCAACTATAAACATGTCTGAGCAGAGTAGAAACGAATTCCAGTCATCTGCAGTTCATGGTGGTCAGCGGTTGAAATCTGACTGTTGTGGTTCATGAGAAATTGTAGACCGTGTGACTTGGAGACTTTTTTTTTTCTTTTCTCTTTTTTTCTTCTTGGACCCCATTGAAATTTCAGGCAACTATTAACTTCAGTGTTTGTCCGTGTATTGTATGAGACCTCATTGCAGCTTAGTATGCATTGCCAGTTAGTACTGTTCTCGATACTAAAAGACCACATACGTAGCACAATACAAATCAGCAACAACTTGAAATATTTTGTGCATTGAAATAAGATGGGTGGAGGATAGAAAGATGCTGGAGGACTCTGCCTTCCAAAAGGTGGCAAGGCTATTAAAAAATACTGCTGCACCACTTAAAGGGGAAGAGTGAGAAGAAAACTGTGCACTGTAGTAGACAGCATTGTATCTATTTGTAGGCAGTGTCCTGTTTTCCATTAAACAACAGCGCTGATAAACATCAGTCAGTTCAATCTACAGTTAATGTGTCAGAACTTTAAAAAAACAAAAAGAAACAAAAAATCCCAAACCAAACCAAAAAATCCCACACTTGATTCTTCTGACTGTGTGACTGACTGAGTGAGAATCTGGCAACAACTCAATTCAGGCAGATGTCTTCATTTTAGTTAACCCACGTTGTTAAACACTCGTACGATAAGCTTCTGTTCATCCTGTTCTCCTCTTCTTACATCTTTGAGATTCGTTTGTAAAACAAACTATGGAGAACGTTGGTGGCACACTTAAAAAAACTGAAATGCTGCAGGGTGACAGATTTCTGAAGAGCCAGTGTTAGTAATGAGAAAATGTAATAAAGGGCCAAAATAAAATAAAACATGTTTCAAAGTATTTTAGCTTGATGTGAGATAATGTGTTCCAAGTATTTCCTTAATTTTTATGCACTATATGAGTTTTTTTAGTAGCTGATTTACTCTAGGGACTTCAGGATTGTTCTAGTGAATCATCTTTTATAAATGCTGCAGGCAAGACTAGTATCGGAGAGATTTTCAGCAGCTTCTAGATTTTTAAGGATTGCAGTCATGTCAGAGTGTCAGTGTAGGTAGTTCTGATGACCTGCAATAGATCTAATGCCGATCTGGGTGAGCTCTTAGACCCCAAACAGTAAAATATTTCTAATGAGCACTGTGGAAATAAAAGCTTTTTTTTCCGGTAAAATTAGGAGTGCAAGGAGGAGTGGAAAACTTTCAGAGGCCAAAGGGACTTAGATATGGAACAGGGGATGAACAATAGGGAAGTTCTTAGAACAAGCATGTTTAGGGGAAAAAGTCAGCTCAGGATTTTGGTTTCTATTCCCATTTTCACTGTTTCCAATCTGTGTTTGGTTTTAACGGTAGATTGAAGTATATGGTACATGAGCACAGCTCAGCCTGCTACACATTTTTTTGTTCTTAGTTTAGCGGTTCACACATAACTTTATTTCATTGAACATTTCTGGTATTGTACTTCCTTTATTACAAGAGGAAATGTGTTAATGTTGTGCTTGAAGTTGTTTCATTTCTTTTTCAACCCTGTTTCTGGAAATTCTAGTCTAACCAGATCAGTAATGCTGTTTTGGTTTTGGCAGCTAGAGAATGGGAAGTAACTTCGCCAGCATTGCTTATGCGGAGCTCTGCCAGGTGACACGGCCACCCTTTGACTTTTATTATGTAAAGATTTTCCTTACTGTTCTGCCAAAGAGAGATGATCTCCCTCTTTCATAAACCATTTAAGTTGTCATTAGGTTATAAAAGTCATGGGTTGTGTCAGCTGAAGTGTAAAATGTTGCAAGAGAAAGTTGCTATTTTTTTGTAAAAATGAGTAATTTCTCTTTTTCACAGGTTCTTTAAAGAACTTGAAGCAAGACATCAGAACAACATCTTTATTGATGATATTAGTGATATAGTTGAAAAGCATACTTCTTCAACATTTGATCCATATGTAAAGTACTGCACCAATGAAGTCTATCAGCAGCGAACACTGCAGAAATTACTGTAAGAACTGATCTTAAAATATGATTGCAAAACCATCGCCTTCGTAGTAGGAGTGAGTAGTAGGCTGTGGTATTTGGTGCAAAACCTATGGCTTCCAACTAAGCGTGTACTTACATGCTTAACTTTCTTTAATGTACAAGTTCCTTTGAAGTAATTGAGAGTGAAAACATGCCTGGCTGCATAGTCCAATCCTATTTGTGGTCAGGTTTTACATTCCCTTTCCACTGATAAGTACAGTTTAATCAATGTCAAAGATGTCCTTTCATTCTATGTTACATATGAGACTGTTTGCACTCACGTTCGGGTATGGGAGAACTTGAGGTTTCTAAATGTCAATACTGGTCTTGCATATCTAAGTAAAGCTGAAAGCTTAGTTGATATGACTCCTTCAAACCACACGTTCCCATTAATAAAATCATGATTTATTTAAAATCTAGCAACTTTCACAATTCTTTGGTAAAACATACCGTTTCATTCTCTCCCCCTTTTTCCCACCAGAGCCACAAATCCAGCATTTAAAGAGGTGTTATCACGGATCGAGTCCCATGAAGATTGCCGGAATTTACCAATGATCTCCTTCCTCATTCTTCCCATGCAGAGAGTTACTCGTCTTCCCTTACTGATGGATGTGAGAACAGAGTTATTTTTCTATTTTTCCTCGATGCATGTCCTATTAATGTTAGCATTCTTTCATACTCCATTCCTAGTTCATTCCAGTCTCTTCATATCTTCTTTCTTACACCAGGTACAGGGCTGTAGATAGTGGTCTGTTGATTATGAAGCACTGTAGCATTTGTTCGTTTACTGTGACTGGTACCCCCCACTCCTGACCCTCCATTCAAAAACTGAATATTTAGACATTCTAATAGAAAAATTGTAAAGGGTCAAAATGATTCTGAAACCAAGAAGGAACCTAGCTCAGAAATTGTATATAGTGTTAGGATTAAAATTAAACCCTACAGTTTAAAAAAACAAGACTTCCTATCATATAGATTAGATATGGGTCCTTTTGCAGTAAATACTTACTTTCAGGAACAGAGTTGTTAAGACCCTCAGTTAAGAGGGTCACAGTGTAACCCTGAATAATAAACTCCATTCTCAGGGGCACGGGAGCTATTTGTGAGTGGAACAGTATTGATACACTCGGTTTCCCACCAGTGTGTTACACTGTGAGATGTTCCCTTCCTGTGCAGGTTACTGGGCGACTTAGGAAGTGTGATGAAGTGCAACTGAGTATTTGTGAAGCAAAGTTCACACCAAGATTCATGGTATTTCAGTTAAGATGCTAGAATTAAATTTATGAGCTGGACCACCAGCAATGGTGCAGATTAAAATCCAGGCTCAGATTCTAGCATTGGTAGGATCCAGAAACAGGGCTAATAATTTTGTTCTCCTATATATTTGCAAATTGTGCACTGATTAATTTGATTGATCATCTGGATAGTTACTTAGTTCATTCATGGACATTGAGTACTCTCTTCTGCAGTACATTTCTAGGTTAAAAAAATGGAATAATAATCCAGTATTACTTTGGTGTGTCACTAGGTGTGCCTTCCCCTTGTTTTTTTCTTTTCTTCGCCTCCTTCCCCTCTTCAGCTAAGAGAATCTAAACAAGCAAACCAAGCATTTTATTTTCTACTGTTTCAGTTTGTTTTGTTTGTTTTTCTTGGAGATGGTTGTGTAAACCTTATGTTGAGAATTCAAAGTGAATTCAATTTTTAAGGTTTCAGTACCAGAAATATGGTTCCAACTACATTCAGAGAAGAGGGAACATAACTAAACCAAAGACTAATTTAATGTAAAATATCTTATGATGTTTTTGTTTCTCAATCAAAAAAGTTATTTAACTGGTCTGTCATTGATTCAAAATGCCTGTTTCTGATAGGACTTCATCTTTACCTGTAATTCATGAGAATAAACTCTGTCAATAGATATAACTCTCATGTGTAACTCATAGATCAGTTTTACTTTTCATTACTTTCCAGCACTTCCTCTGTTTGGATGCGGCAGCTGGCTTCCCTTCCATGTGCTTTCTTGTTTTAATAAAATAATACTCTTATGTGTATTTTCCTATGGTATAGAAAATATGGTATATTTTCCTACACATAACAGTGTAGCCTTAAGAGCTTTTTCTGTTAATCCTTTGGAAATACTTACCTTCCACAAAGAGGTCAGAGTAATCTGGTACAGTTTTCTTATTGCAAATATGGTTGTACGTAAATGGGTATTTCAACTTCCAGGAAAAGCTTAACATGGTACTTGAAACAGGAAGGACCTGATTATGTACGGCTGCAATGGGATTTCATTGTGGTTTGCGAAAAGTTAGAGACAAGACAGCAGAAACTTTCCCTTTCCTGGAAGGGGAAGTCCTGCCTCTTCCACCGTGTTGCCATGGATGGAGGTTGGCCAAGAGGTGCAAAACATCACTTTGCTTTCCAAAAAGCTTTCAAGGGAGGCATTAGTGTCACAAAGCACTCTGAAGAAGTGATCTAGTGTTCTCTCATTTGTCCCAGTCCACAGCTGTGACTTCACCTCTTTGATTTCAGTTAATATGTATGTAAAACTCTGTATTTGTTACAATCTGTGCTTCTTGGTCCTCTGAAGTAACTGACATTTTATTTCAGACTATTTGTCAGAAAACTCCTAAGAATTCACCAAAATATGAGAACTGCAAGCAAGCTCTGAAAGAAGTGAGCAAGGTATGTTTTTAGAAGTTTAATGTGGATGCAGAATTTCTTCTGCTTTGACTGTTTTCCTTCCTAAATTGCACTGCATGCTTTTGTCATTTCAAAAGTCCACTGTGAGAAGTGGCTGCTTTTGGTTTTTGTTAGTCACTTGAGAATTAATTTTCATGTTCATTACTCATTTTGTTCACGTGTTTCATTGTGTAGTTGGACAAATTCATTCTGTTTTCCAGTCATTTCAACAGAAAGCCATATGGTGGACCATACATATAAAAAAAGCCAAAACACTGTCCTGACAGTAGAGAAAAGAGAGTCTTGAATCTTCTAAGCAAACTTAAGCATTCTTTCTGCTTTTATTGTAAGTTAACCGGATCACCTTCTGTTAGTTGTTCAAAGCTGTTCTCTTCTCCTGTAGTCATGCTTTTTTCCCAAAAATCAATGATGGAAGAAGAGCACAAGTCCATTTCCATGTATAGATTGTAAATTTCAACAGCACTTACTTGTATAATAAATTCTGGTTCCTTCCATTTGAACCTGAGCATATTACCAATTTTTTTTAAGTTGGTGGGAAATTCCAATTCATCTGTTTAATATGTTTATATTCTGGAAATAGACAACTCCGTAAAACAGAGCATTGTGGTTTGAAAAGAAAATCTAAGGATCTAAGGACTGGCTATTTTTTGCCTCCAGGATCTCAGAATTTCAGAAACTGTAGTACATTGTAGACTGTTGTGAAATGTGAAGTACTGGGCATTCTTTATTTAAAAAAAAAAAAATTCTTTCTCTGCACGTTGGGACTAGACATTACCTTGGGCCTTGAACATTCTTGTCTGCTTTAAGGGAAAAATTGATGTTTTCCATGCATAAATAATGCAAACGGGAAGAGTACTGAAGGATAAAAACTATGAATTGTTTTATTTAAGAAAGGCCACTAGGGATCGTTTTTATGCCTAAATTACTGTCTGTTTATTACTTAGGAAAATATCCCGAATTCGGCAACACTGTACTGCTGCTGGGTTTTTCTGTAGGAACAGTATATGGTGTGTAAAGTGTTCGATTATAAAAGGAGAAAAGGCCCATTGGCAGTTGGGAAATCTATGCATGATGTTGTGGGGTTAAGGGGAATGCATTTTCATGCCTTTCTGTCTTTGCCCCTCTGTTTTCATATGCTCCCCACGCACATGTACAGGCTTCAGTAAAACTGTAGCACGCTTTAAAATTGCATTGTAAAGGTCAGCTGCAATGAAACCTTTTCTAGGATGTTGTTTGCCTTAGTTTAACAAGATTGTACTGTAACGTTTGTGTTGGGACTTTCTTCTATGAATGAGTTGGGTGTGCGTGGTAGATGTGGCAGCGTGTTGCACTGATGTGTCAGTCTGGAAGGTGGTTTATTGTGGAGCTGATCGTTAACTTGGATGAGAGAGCTATAACCCTTCTCAGTCAGAACTTCTGGCTGAACCTTTGTACCATCTGGGCTCCACTGAAGAATAAATAATTATCATAGGATAGTTCAGGTTGATGGGGATCTCAGGAGGTCATCCAGTCCAGCCTCAAAGCAGAATCGGCTATCAAGTCAGACCAGGTCACTCAGGGCTGCATTCAGTCTGGGCTTGAAAACATTATGCCTGTCACCCAGTGTGGAAATGTCAGTTCCTTTGCACTTCTGAGGAAGCTTAAAATTTACATTTTATAAAGTAACAAGAGTTTATTACAAGTCTTAAGTACATTAAACCTGTTAAATAAATGTCTCATTTCTAGTTGGTGCGTTTATGCAACGAAGGTGCTCGGAAAATGGAAAGGACAGAAATGATGTACACAATTAACTCCCAACTGGAATTTAAAATCAAGGTATGAGGATGATATTTCTGACCATAAATTATTTAGCATGTGAACAACTTTGAGTACACGTTAAGTTTTGATAGGTCTTTGCCAGCATAAACAAAGTAAATTAGTGTAGGCTGTAATATTGACATGGCTTTTCAGTTAAGGAGGACAAGTTCATATTCTGGGGTAGCTGGAGCCCTGGAAACTCAGTAACTGAAGACTGTTGCATCTAACCAAGCAGATTAAGCT